ATCGAACCCGAGACCCCTTGCCGCACTTGTGACCACTCAGCCAACGAGGCAGCAGTAAACCAAAACAATAATTAAACATTCATTGGGCATTTAAAAGATTTCAGATTTGAATAAATACAAATTCGAAATCCCATATACCACAACTTATATACACAATATAAATTTTAAAAAAAAAATACATATAAATAAATTTTAGACTTTTTTTTTAGATAGTAAGAATTATTTTGTAATCTGGCTTTTTACACCAAATAAACATTTTTATTTATTTATTTAAAAACAATATCATTCACTTTCCCAGAACCTTTAATCATATTAAATAAATCATTTAAACCCGCCACATGAAATGTCATTAATTAACCTCATCTAAATGTTTTAAATGAAATCATTTCTCAGTATTAATAGCTCGGTACTTTGCGATTATGCTAACGACCGACGATTTGAATACATTTTAACAGACTATAGCAAAATGTAATGTGCTAAGCAGGCTAAAAAGTTATTACACATTCATGCGATGCAAAACAGCATAGGGGAAGCACTCATACAAATGAAGAAATAATTGAATTTTCACGTCAAAATCAAAATAATTTTCCACTTGCTAGTAATATTTGGCCATCGAAATATATTCAAACGTGTTTCTGCGAAGGAATATTTGGAATTGTTAGTAATTGTACTCGGTTTTCAGTTTCAAAATAAGTCTATATGTGGTTAGGTTGTTAATTTGCTAGCTTACTGAGAATATGTGTTGTAAACTGCCTCGATGGCCGAGTGGTCGCAAGTGCGACTACCGGGCAGGGGGTCTCGGGTTCGATTCCCGAGTCGGGCAAAGTATTAGATACTGGGTTTTTAAAAAAAAATCTCAGGGGCAGCACGGAGTCTGGAAATGTGCCCGGTATATGGCAATAGGCTCACCCGGTCACCCCTTATTACATGGGACTCATAACATAAATAATGAAAAGTGGGTGTTACTTCTGTATGCACCTCTGCCTACCCGTTCAGGGATAAAAGGCGTGATGTTAAATAATTATTTATATTACAAAAAAGAAGTAATGCAACGAAAACAAAAAAAAATATATTAAACACAAAAAATGTTTGCGATTTGAGGACCTTCGAATTTTAAACATTTTTGAGCATACTCAATAGAATAGAATAGAAATAGAATTTCGTTTAGCATTTTTAACTTTTAAAGGTTTTGGAGTATCAAAACTAAAGTACATTTCTGAAGAATTCAACACTTAGGTACTCATGCGATCATGACAGATGCTGACTGAAAATTAATTCCTGTGTATATTTCTCAACTAAATTTCACTTGATACTGAATCTCAAGCGTCCAACAATATAATCCATTATGCTTCTAGTTTCTGTCCGACATGAACACCTAAGGCAAATTAGATTTCCCAATCTTCTACTATTAGAGTACAAGGTACCACGGCTACACACCAAGCTACGCCAACCAGTATAAACTGACCTTTGACCGTGTGGAAAGATATACAAAACGAGATCATGATATAATGGTTTTTTTATATTTCGATGTGTGTGCCATACAAGGTACAGGGTACATATTAAGCTGTGTGTTATAATACCTCAGTTATCCATTACGGTCATAAATGTCTCAGTAATAATACAAGACAGTCACATTATGTCAAGTCAAAGTCAAAATCATTTATTTCAATTAGACCAGGAAAGTACTGTTGAACGCCAAAACAAAATATTGAAATATTAAAAAATAAATCACTCTGTCGGTCGGTCCTCTAGTGAAGCTATTTGCTCGTTCCAAAGTGTACATTCCTGAGGAGAAGATCGAATAAGAAACTTGACAGGTTACGCCTTTTCAATCAGATTCACAATACAATATTCTTGGTGACGCAACGTATATGTATATAACCACTTATGCAGGCTACAGCGATTTAACTGTGTAGTGTTAACTGTATTGTGGAACTGTACAGGGTAGACCAGCCGGCCTTCAGTCAAAACTAAGGCCGGCTCCGTTCACAGCGCCGTACGCGCTCTCATTTCGATTATTTTAAACGTAGAATAAAAATAAAACGAAAAAAAACTTATACTAAACCCACTATACAGTTCAACTGTTTGCTCTACACCCATTATGATTTAGCGATAAGGTGCATTAGACTGTTACAAAACTCAATAGTTTACGCAGATTATAATCACCTCATCTCACATCTATAATTCTCCAATACATAATACCTATTCATTTGAAAATTCTCCCAATACGAACCAATACGTACGTGACCCCAACACACCGCCATTTTAGTAATTGTATATACAAATATATGCTTATTTATTATATTACATTAAGGACGTGCTAAAATGTGTCTTAGATGTTAATGTAAAAGAAAATTCACACACGTCGAAATCAATTTATTTCTTGCTATGTTAAAACATTGTTGTCGCTTATTTAGAATCTGCGAATTCCATGAATGTATTTAAGCTTCCATTTCTGTAGAATATGTTTGTTATGTCATCTTTTTTTCGTATTAAATCGTATTAATGATAATATTAGGTATGTTTTTCCTTGTTGACTGCCTCGTTGGCCGAGTCATCGTAAGTGCGACTGCCGGGCAAGGGGTCTCGGGTTCGATTCCCGGGTCGGGCAAAGTATTACTGGGTTTTTAAATATTATCAGTAGTAGCACGGAGTCTGGAATTGTGCCCGGTATATGGTAATAGGCTCACCCCGTATTACAGGGGACTCATAACATAAATAGTGAAAAGTGGGTGTTACATTGTTCGGGGATAAAAGGCGTGATATTATGTTATGTTATTCCTTATTTATTTTCATACTAATATTAAAAATTCACTTTTATTTGCCCAGATGATAAAGGGACGTAAAGTTAAGATATAGGAATGTAAACCTTATACAAGTACAAGTTTAAAACCTCTATAATAACGTACCACGTAATTTTCCAAACCACAATACTAGCAAACACTTGTAGTTTGACTAAAGCACTAGTAAACACGTTTGACGATACAGCTCAAACCTTTCAGGTAAATAGAGGCAGACTTGAGATATTCAACATCTTGTTTGGCAATGGTCAAGTCAAGCCAACATCGGGTGCAATAGAAGACGTCATCTTAGTACTGAGAACTGCTACCGATACAGGAATTGTACTCAATACCTTACTGTATATGAACATATATCAACAAGATTCAAGATCTATTGAGTTAGAGCACCTGTGCTAGACAATCATACCTATTATACCAACTCAATTTTAAAGAACTCCTAAGCCATGATAGTAGACACCTAACGACATTTTGATTTTCACCGACCTATAAGTGGCTCAGAAAAGTACAAGTCAGGGGTTAGTTTCGGTGCTACGTCACGTTAAATGATTTTAGTTAAGAGATAGGAAGGCCATAAGTTAAGTAAGTCATGCCTACTTGTAAATATACTAGACCAATGAGGCTACTCACTAGTTTAGGAAATGCATAAAAGTAATTCAAAGCGACCGTTTAAATATATCCAATTAAAATACTATTAACTCGATTCACAGCCGACTACCGCTCGTACTCCAAACGTATTGAATTAGGCTTCCTATAGAGGTAAAATGGAAACGATTTTCCAAAATCGCAGGCTATTCTGTGAAAACGTTTGGTCCTATCAATCACTTTTACGTATCGAATTTATAAGAAAAACCTAACATTTGCCTAAAACCTGCGTAGGTATTAAAGTGTCGTAATCCATCAAACAAAATAAATGTATTTTTATGCGTAAAGTGGAATTGGTAAATCGATTTGAATGTGAACATAAAATTTAATAGTAAACAATGCCTAACCTAATGAGACACAGGCGTCACTATACGATGGTAATGCTATACTTATTAATTTAATTGTTAATTGCATTATTTTCATTATCAAGGAGAAAATTATATTTTCAATATCATTTTAATGTCAATTAAATAGAGGTAAATAACATATTTTTCGCATTCAGCCTAAGTATTTGATTCAGTACTTAATCTACCTTGAAGTCATAAATGTAACTAGTAATTGTTTATTTATTTGTTTCATTTTATTTAAATGAAAAATAATTTATTATCGATTCCGCTAGCATATGTTTTTCTAACATTTCTCAGTACCTAATGAAAAAAATTCACAACAAAATGATTTTTGTTAGAACAACTATGTAGTATTACATGTATGTAGTAATCCTTATAAAAATAGTTTTATATAAGTTACAGTTATATTCCTTTCCGTATGTCGTAGAAAATGTAAATATTATTGGATTCGTTCTATTCGATAGGGCACCGGATTTGAATCGAATCTGTTTTTTGTGGGCCAGGCTCGAGACAGATGCCGAAGGGTATAAACAGGGTACATAAGGTTTTTATTAAAATGGTGATTCGTTAATACGATCCCTTTTTAACTTATTTGCCGTATATTTTTGTTCAAACAACAAAAATAAATGGATTCCTTTTTAAAATCCATTTGGATTAATGTTTTATTTTGTTATTTGTATATTTTTATGCTGAAGTGACCTTTGGTATTATAATTTTAGAGTTTAAAATAAAACTGCTATAAAAGCCATACTTTTTACATACAACCAATATAAAAGCCGTACACCCATATATTGTTTTAGTATTTAAATTCCTAAAGTTATTGGCAAGTTTTCAAAAAGGAAACAATCTAGAAATCACGCATCACAAATAAATATCATTTTTATACACAGACCTTTACACATGGCCCTTTATTTTGTTAAGTACCACTTGCGAGATAACGAATTAAATTAACTGCAACACGTCATCATCCCTCCGTACGAGATTTAGGCTCAGGAAAGGTCCCTCTACATTATTTACGAGATCTCAACCCCGCCTACTGCGTTACAACCCTAACACTAAAAACAACCCAAATGCGGATCAAAGACAATTCACAATGTTTAATGACACTCATAAAACTTAAGATAATTAATTACTCAAACCATTTAAATGTTATCACTAAGCAGCCTAAAATAACTGCAGTACTTATACAAAAACGTCAAAGAAAAATTACCTTTATAAAGTTCAATACATCCGTTGTTCACAAATAGGGCTGGCTCACAAAACAAACAGCACACGGTTATATAATGAACGGTCGCGTACTAACACGTCAGGGTCGTAATTTTCCCGCGCAACACGACCGCCCCCCACGGCGCACAGAACGATACTGATACACGTCAACGTGAACGCCGGCAAGCTCGCGAAGAACGGTGTGAAATGCGCAAGTCACGCGGAGCTTAACTTATCTACCTACTTTTGAAATTCAAATTGTCATTTACTCGGTCTTATTATACATACAGTATACACGCAAAGTGGGGACCGTCGTTTGGTGAGGATAAATTTCCGCTATGCGGGTCTACGTGTTTTCAGGATTCGACCTCAAAATATCTGTAGTGAGGTAGCTTTAATAAATCACTTGGAACATTTCATTGTACATTTTTTCCGTATGAATACTTGTGCGCTACGTACTCGTTTTGCAAATGACTAGTTTTCGTAGACACGTAGAAGGTTCGTAGCGCGTAGCGTCGTAGCACCGTGTCGTAGCGATTCATAGCCTTGTACACGAATACTTCTGAACAATTTTGTTTGTTCTACCTTTAAAAAATTATTCTCCGCCTACGGCTATATTAATTGCGTCACTGTAAAATATTATTGGGTGACATTCCAATTATATTATTACACTTACTGACTGCATAATTGATATTCAAACAAAGTGGGCGATAATTAATTTATTAGCCTAATTAAATTAGTTAATGTTTACCGCACTTGCGCAAGTAATTACTTAAGTGTTATTTATTTGAGCTGTCAACATTTTAAATGTAATTAATAAGTTTAATGTGAAAATTTTATCAGCAGTAATTTCCTTTTAGCAACCATCGGATTGTAAAATTCTCATTAGCTAAATTTCCTAGTACTGCTACCCATAGCCATGTAAATTACATGTATGTTAATTCTGGGAAATAATTAAATCATAACAAGTTTAAATTTTTACTCAAAATTAATTAAATCAAATTTAAAGAATTATTATGACTAGATAATGAATCATCCTTTAACCGCGGCTTAAAAAAATTTAATGTAAATTAAGAACACGGAATCCTGAACGTATCGTTAGTAGAAATAAAAAGAGCATTGGTATGACCGACGTCCATTTTACCGATTTACGGAGCAACCCTGCAACTTCCATCAAATATAAAGAAAACACGTCTGAGCAGTCCACGGAAACGTATTACTGAGATAATTTAATTTTCTACCCGATATTAAGGCGGTGCTACATTGAGGGTATTAGCAAATTCGGACAAAATTGGGCAACTTTCTTTCCCCAAATAAGTTATTTTATTTTGTTCCCCAAGGTCTGGAAAAAAGGTTTTTATTTATTTATCGCATCAACGAATACTGAAATTGATTTACTATCTGCACATTTGTGGAATATTGGTGAGGCGCGATGAGTGAATTGAATTTTTATATTTCTAGCTTTCATAAGTTCGATGTCGTATAGGTGTCTAGTGTGTACTAGTCCTTAGACTCGACTCCTAGTTTTTGCGATAGCTTCTACCCTCGAGTGAAAGAAACAAGAAAACAAACTTACGATGGCTTTCTAGTAAAAACTTATTAAAAAATATTGAGCTTTTCCTAAAGATATTTTCTATTTCGTAGAGAAAATTCGATATTATGTTTAAATATTGGGGCTAAGAATGACGACGAGTTCGTGATGAAATCTTGTCTTTGTAATGTTTATAAATAGAAGTCTATTTTCATGGAAATTTAATAACCTTTTAAAATTAAAAAGAAAGTATCTTTCAGTTTTAAATATACCGTTTTCCAGGAACTCAAGATTTAGTATTTTAAAATGTTCGTAGTTTTGTCATCCTACCTAAATAGGTATTAATTTTTCAATTAACATTATAAATTAGCAATCTTCACATTTGAATCTTCATGAAGTTTTATATATTTTTATATCAAACCTTGTCTGACACAAAATTCTGGCTCCAAGAATGTTTTACCAAAATTTCTTCAAGAAAAACCCTAAACTCAAACTAGAGACATTGCGTTACACCTTTCGATACCAAGTCTGTACACATATGACCAAAGTAATATCGATAAATGAAAACGGTTCTTGGAAAGCAATGTACAATATTTTTTCCCGAGATAAGATACAGACAATAATAGCATTTTGTTTATGTTGACGGCGGCCTAAGCCCCGCGGGATCGTGGGATCGACAAGGCCCCACTGGCTTACAAGAACTATCAGATATCCGAACAAAATATATTGGTCTACCTCACCTCCCCCACCTGGTACTCTTACATACAAAATAAGGGCGTAAACGTTGTGTACTACAGCTCTTTTAACATCGGCTATCACATAAAACCTCACACTCCGGACCCGTGAGAAATCATGATATTATAATTTATATTACGAAGGTCCTGCCTTCCCCAATTCAGTCTGCACCAAGATTTTAATTAGGCTCCTGTTTCTAAAATATGTTAAACTTCAATAAAGGTGTAATTTCATATAGGGTATCGTTTTCGTCGTCTGTAAACATTTTGATATAGGTGCTGGGTAAGATGATATCACTAAAGCTTGTGTAAACTGTACATTTAGCTCAAAACTTGAACGTGTTAATATGGTTATTATGTTTAGCTAGCCAATAGCAGCGTGACAGTCGCCGCGTCGCGGGTCACGGAATGCTGCTCATAAATATGAGTCTCTGGCATGGCTTGAAACTAGTCGAGCTCCTCATCAAACAGTTACGTGAGTAAGCCGAAAATATAATGGTGAAATTACCTAATTTTTTCTAGATTCAATTTGGAAAAATAACACTAGAATTTTAGTGTCCAAAATTATTTGTTTACCAAGAAAATATGGTATATAGATCATTACAGATATATTTAAAATTCTGCTAGCTTGGAAAAAATAGTATAAATAGACGAAAAAGGCTAAGGTTTTACCTTAACAATAGCTATTTTCTAGCCGTAACTTTCTGCCCTTATCAACCAAAAAGCCGCGTGAATTTCAATTTCTATTCTAGTCAGAACATTTATGTCTAGTAATGGAAACTCAACCCCTTAGGGTTTTAAGGTCAAAATATGTTTTACGAGACAGACTAGATAGTTCAAACGTATAGAAGAAAAGTATTTTCTTTAATGGCTACTTTTCCAATGGTACCTAATAAGTTATGTATTTTAATTAATTTATATTTCAATAAGTGTGGGAGAGCCATGCTTTGGCACGAATGGGCCGGCTCGACCGGAGTGATACCACGACCTCACAGAAACCGACGTGAAGCAACGCTTGCGTTGTGTTTCGTCGTGTGAGTGAGGTTACCGGAGGCTCAATTACCCTCCCCGTCCCCAATCTCCCCAATCCCTAACGATCCTCAAATTCCTAATCCCCAAAAGGCCGGTAACGCACTTTTAACGCCTCTGGTGTTCCAGGTGTCCATGGGCGACGCCGATTACTTACCATCAGGTGATACGTCTGCTCGGTTACCGGCTTATGCCATAAAAAAATCAATGTTGTAATTGTGAATGGAAAATAATGCTTCGTAACTTAAACCATAGAGCTGCGATAAAACACATAAATAGAAAAAGGAAACCGGCCATAAAAAAATGATTTGATCAAAATAACTTCTCTGGTAATGTCGTAGGTAAAAGTTAGTAATTTAGAATACCACACGGTTAAAACATAACATCACATCATAACATCACGTCTTTTATCCACGAAGGGGTAGGCAGAGGTGTACATTACTGCAATTAAGGCCATTGTGTAATATAACACCCACTTTCACTCTTTATGTTACGAGTCCCATGTAATAGGGGGTGAGCCTATTGCCATATACCGGGCACATTTCCAGACTCCGTGCTACTACTGAGAATTATTTTAAAAACCCAGTAATACTTTGCCCGGCCCGGGAATCGGACCCGAGACCCCTTGCTCGGCAGTCGCACTTGCGACCACTCGGCCAACGAGGCAGTTACGCGATTAAACTGAAACTTTAATTATATTAACTTAATATAAAAAAGTAGATAGATACATAATACTTAATCAAAAGTTGAACGTCTTAACTAAAAATCACGGGTTACTCACATGAATATACTGAGAAAAGCTCTACCACTTTCGTAACACAGAGGGGTTCTTCCTCATGACCAGAGTGCGCGGTCGCGGCGATGTCGCGCAGCCTATTCAACTACGCGATTTTAAATTAGTATATCTCACGATTGTTATTATTAAAACATAGTTGAACTTCTTGGTCCAAAATGAAAACAAATTCTATTTCTAAAGTTGCGTTATGTCCGACATAGGGACTAAGTAAACATTTGTGCCGCCCACACTTCTTTACTTCAATTCCAAATGTATTTACTTTCGATCTCTGCCCACCCACTCATCACTTAAGTTTAACTTGCAACAATCATATTAGTTTAATAATAATTCAAGTGGAATATAATATATGACTGCCTCGTTGGCCGAGTGGTCGCAAGTGCGACTGCCGGGCAAGGGGTCTCGGCTTCAATTCCCGGGTCGGGCAAAGCATTACTGGGTTTTTTTTGAAAAAATCTCGGTGGTAGCACGGAGTCTGGAATTATGACCGGTGTATGGCAATAGGCTCACCCCCTATTACAGTGGACTCATAACATAAATAGTGAAAAGTGGGTGTTACATTGTACAATAATGTGCACCTCTGCCTACCTCTTCGGGGATAAAAGGCGAGATATTATGTTATGTAAAACGACTAAAACTAAAAATATATATACACAATTACATTTTGTTCCACTAAAGACACACCGTTACATAAATCCAACATCGTTTAAATTCATAAATTCAAAGCCAAACTAATTTTTACGCGCCTAACATTTATTTTAAAATATACAACGATATTTCTTCAGCAAATTATCATGTAATCCCATCTGAAATTGCGTCACCGTCGCTGCTAATCCGGTGACACAAATTGACGTCATTTCCGGGAAGGGCCGAAAAGAAGCTTGATTTTTGAGACGGCAACACCGCGGAGTGTGGCAACATTGGTAATTTCCTGGTCGTCTTAATGTTGGTCACACCTTTGGCCCAATATCCGTTTGACTTGACTTATTATAGACTTGACGGATGGTGACTTGTATCATACTAACTTGTAGTGTCATTTGGATTTGAGAGGTTACTCTTCGGTTTTCTTTAACTTAATTTAATAATAAATTCTCAGTACTTTTCGT